GCCGAAGCCCCAGATGGTGAATGGGGTCCAGCATCTTCAGGGCCGAGGTGGTAGCGGAACCATAGACCAAAGACACATAGTGCAGTTTGGATCGAATCAGGGCACGATAGATCCTGAGCATAGAACATCGATCCACTCCCCAAGAGCTGGAAGAGAGGACATGGAGGATGTTTAGAGCCCTTGCACACTTGACACGTAGCTGCTTGATGTGTGGAATGAAGCTAAGCTTACGGTCAAAGATAAGCCCCAAGAACTTTGCCTCATGGACTACACGAATAACTATATCGACGAGACGGAGCTCAGGATTGGGGTGGAGACCCCGTTGGCGACAAAAATGCATGCAAACGGTTTTGGAAAAAGAAAATTTAAAACCGTTTGCAGTGGTCTATGTCAACAACCAACTGAGGGCAGTCTGAAGCTGTCGTTCAATAAAACTCATGTTAGATGACTGATACGAGATGTGGAAGTCGTTGACATAGAGCCCATTTGCAACAGTCAGAGGAAGATTTGTAGTGATGGCAGTAATTTTAACACTAAAAGTGTGACACTCAAGACACAGTCCTGAAGGACTCCAAGTTCCCGAGGAAAGGAATGGGAAAGAGTTGAACCCACACGGACTTGGAATCGCCTGTTCAGTAAAAAGTTTTGAATAAAAATGGGTAAATGGCTTCGCAACCCATAGGAGCGGAGGTCCTGCAAAATTCCATACCTCCACGTAGTATCATAAGCCTTCTCGAAATCAAAGAACACAGAAACAAGGTGTTCTCTCTTGAGAAAGGCTTTCCTTATCGATGTTTCAAGTCGAATTAGATGGTCCATGGTGGAGCACTGTTGACGGAACTCACACTGGGTGGGCGAGAGGAGCATGTTTGATTTTAGGAACCAAACAAGACAAGCATTAACCATCCTCTTTAGGACCTTACAAAGACAACTAGTCAAAGTGATGGGACGATAATTAGAAGGAATCTTGGGATCCTTCCCAGGTTTAGAGAAAGGGAGGACAACAGCCTGGTGCCAAGCATCAGGAAAAATATGCTCCTGCCAGATCCGGTTAAAAATAACCGGAAGAATAGCAAGAGAGGCAGGAGAGAGATGGCGCAGCATCTCATAATGAACATCATCAGGTCCGACCAAAGTACTACCAGACCGATGAAGAGCAAGTTTGAGCTCCACCACTGTAAAGGGGCAATTATAATCATAGAGACGATCAGCCCAAAAGGAAAGAGGCAATCGCTTTGCCCGAGACTTTATGGCCAAGAAGGCAGGGGAAGAAACAGAAGGGCTAGAAGCACGAGAAAAGCTTTGGCTGAGAGCATCACTAATGCTCTAGACATCAGCAATTTCCTGGCCATTGGAAAGCTAGATGGAAAGAGGATGGGATGCATACCTCCCAGTGACTTTCC